ACTTCGAAGATAGAATCGTCGGCGTTATTTCAATGTTTTTTTCAAATACAACCCAAGTTGATTTAGAGCAAAAATCAAAGGCAAAACACACAAAAAGAAGACTTTGATAGAAATTTTAATTTGAAAACAATAAATTTTGAAAGAGGATTTGACTTTCCAATTTTAATTTTGATTTAGTGTTGTAAATGGTGTTGTAGCAATGGCGGCCACTCCACAATGAAGAAGACCAACGGATGGGTTAAGCGAAGAAAGAAAAAATAAAGAATTAAAACTAAAAAAAAAACATAAATAAAAACAAAGATTAGGAAATTATATAAAATTGACAGGTGGCAAACTATAATTAGTATGTGCTTACACCTTCTTCTTTATAAGTGGGATTAACTGAAAAATGAGATATTTATATCACTTTTAAATTATTTAGTGGGGTACTAGGACCCTTATAAAGTTTGAGTGTCTTTTTAAAAAAAGTGTTATAGTTGAATGGGGTAATTATGTATTTCCTCATATATTTATAATATAAGTAATAGTTTCAGTTGAATTCATAAAACCCGTTCTAATTAAATCCGTTTCCTAGCAGAACAAGGACTTACTTAGATTGATCAATTACCAAAGTGAATTCATAAAAAGTAATAGTCCTACATAGGGGTGTACATAGGTCAGTTTTGTTTGATCTTTTATTAAAAAAATTAAACCAATTATGTCGGTTTATTAAATCTAAAAATCAAATCAAATCACACAAAGTCGGTTTTTTCGGTTTTGATTTTAGTCGGTTCTTTCAGATTTTTTTTTCGGTTTTTTGATTTTTTACAACTATACGATGTTTAAAAAAGAGATCAAATATATTTTCACTTACCTGTGTGATAAGCTAAACTTAAGAAATGTTAAATGAATAGAAATTTTTGTAAAGACGGTAAAATTCACATGAGTACAATTTTTTTTTTGAAATATCAATGTTCATTATATTAAATTAATAAGATTAAATGATATAGTCAAACTGAATATAAAACGAAATATTTACAAAGTAAATTGTTAACTTCAAATTTGAAAAACTATAACAATATAATTGTAACTTCGGATCTTAATACAAAATAAAATATTTACAAATTTTACAAACCCAAATTTGAAATAAAATATATTAACAAGTAGATTATAAATAATATTTTTTTATCTAGAAATAAAATAAAATTATATATATAATATTTACAAAATTTTACAAGCCCAAATTTGAAATAAAATATATAAACATTGAAAACTATAAACTAATTAAAAATATATTAACAAAGTAGATTATAATATATAAACATTGAAAACTATAAACTAACTAAAAATATTTTTATCTTTAAATAAAAAAAATAAATATATATATATATATATATATTATGTCGGTTTAGTTTGGGTTGGGTTTGACTTTTTTTCTTTTAATACCAAATCAAGAGTGGTCGTTTTTTTTTTTCAACCGCCAAACCACAAATCAGTTTTTTTTTTCGGTTTGATTTGGTTCGTCGGTTTGGTTTGACTTGTACACCCCTAGTCTTACATATATAGTTGAAGACGAAAGTAACAGTTCAAGTTGAATCCACAGAACCTGTTCTAATTAAATCCGTTTCCGAGCAAAAACTAGGACTTACTTGGATCAGTCAAGACAACAAGGCCAGAATTACCAAAGTAACAATTCCAAAAATTCCTTCCTTTAGATTGATAGTACAAATTCATGGCAATAGAAGCATGATTCATCGAATTATCTGGTGAAAAACAAGGACCACCCTCGTTAAATATATTGCAATTCACATATTTACATGCAAAAACTATGTTTTGCTCAAGTGCCATCTCATCTGATGAAGGTCTAGCCACACACCAAGTCTTCTGCAAAACCAAAATTAGTGTTAATTACAATCTAATTTCACTTAATTAACTAGCAATTAATCTCCATTAACTAATTCAACTCTTTAATTAACTTCCTGTCCATCCACTAATGTCAGACTCCCTGCTGAAACAACATGATTTAAACATTTAATTAGTTTCATCCAAATGCGACTCAATGTAATTAGTGTCTTAAAAGCCAAATTATAATAAGAGGCCTCTTAATCTTATTTCACAATTCGAGTACTTAAGGCAATGACTTCATTAGTCTTACCCTTGAGACGCCCTGATTCGAACTAAGAAGACTACATTGAACATGGTCGAACAAAAATATTAAATCTTAACACTACAAGAAAAATGACTTTTAACGACACGAAAAATTATCACTAACCTGAGAAGTAGGACGAGAGAAGGAAGAGAAGGGTGAGAATTGCTTTAGCCATTAGTGATTATACTAGATTAGCAGAGGAAACAGAGATGTAAAGTGATTGTTGATGAAATGTTGTTTGGCAATTTATTTAAAGAGAAAAAAGTAGGTAAAAGTGGAAACTTTTAAGATGAGACGTTACGACTTATGTTGAATCTTGTGGAGTTAAAAGACAACATAAAAAATCTTCAACAGGCAATACGATTATTGGTAAAAACTTACTCATATCAGATTAATATTGGTTTAATGACAACCAATTAACCATGTTTCTTAAGAACATGTGTCATATATTTATTGATTTGATATAAACATCTGATGATGATGCAATATTATATTAAGAGCCACAACATTATGTTACTGTTATCATTGCTAATTGCGTGGGCCTGACTCATGTCATTTAACTACTTTTACAAGATTTTCTATATGCACTTTGGTAAATTTTGTTTTCCACAAGCAAAGGAAACATTTTTTATGGAGCACATGTACTGTACATTCAATCATTTCATCGATTATATCAGTCTTTTATATCTCCTTGTGTTCAAAATCTTTGCTTTTTTAATTTCTCTTAAAGTGTCCGTGAAAAAGTTTTGAGATCTACTTTCACTCTTTTGTCAATAGCTTTATTCTCTACTCCATCTTTTAATTAAAGTTTAGTATGAATATTTATAAATTATAGAACAACTCTATTTAATCCTTTGCTTATAAATTGTATCGAATAATTTTCCAAGTGAAAAAGGGTAGACTTGATTGAAGTACTTTTAGCTCATATTATGTACTTGTGGTAAAAAAAATCTGTTAATAGTATATATATATATATATATATATATTTGAACATTTCGAACCTATAAAAAATTCAAATCTTAAATATGTTTGATCGGATTTTTCCTCAAATGTTCCCAAAGTAGTAATGGTGGATGACCATCTGTACCATGTGAGTTAAAATCAAGGAAGTTGTACCCAAACTAATACAGTTTAAAAGTTAAGGAAAACAAAGCAAGTGAAAAAGATCATGTGCTTTGATCTAGACTACATAAGGCTTGAAAATTAAATTCTCCACCGGCAAATCTAAATAAAGTTGCCTTTTTTTTTTATTAACTCTTCACGTTCGAGACTTGCACCTCAAATTTTAGAATGTAAATTCTATGAATCTACGTCTTTTATTTGCGCTGTAGAACGTTTTTTGACATGCCCATATTAAAATTCGCTTAAAAACGCCTTTAAAAATACTAATATTTAGTAGTAATAAAAGAAAAACAGATGTTTTTTCACACTCCATATATTTTTCTTGGAAATATGACTACATTTACACAAAAACTTAATTTGTACTCTTTTTTTCTTAATTTATGTGACATTTTTTTTATCTGTTTCATAAAGTACGTTACTTTTTTATAATTAAAAATAACTTAACTCTCAAATTCCCTAACTTTAACAAAAAATGACTCATAGCCACACATTAATATTGAGATTTACTTTAGACAACAAATTTAAAAATTCACTACTCCTATTTTCTTAAACTTATTGTCAAGTCAATAGTACCAAATCAGCAAAGGTCCCAAAAAAAATAATCTTTATCATGAATCAGCTTGATTGGATTTTCAAAGAAAACTGATTAACTCCATTGATTATGGCAGTTGGCTCTAATGCTGTTCATAAGTGATTGAGTCCAGATTGAACAATAATTCAAACAGCTAGATTTATTGTTTGTGGGCCATTAATTTGTAGCAATTTCTATAACAAATATTCTGCATAATTCTGTATAAACACTTAAAAATAACAATTAGTACTATACAAAAAAAATACATTTTTTTTTTCAAGAAGATGGCAGCAGCTGGAGCCATTTCAGTATGGATTTCAACATCAACACCCACAAAGATCACTGCTTTTAACACCAAACCAAGAATTTCTTATCCTCTTAAACTTTCAAGAAATGGTATTTATCCCTTATCCACATTTGAGAAAAATGGCCAACATGAACAAAATTTCACAATCAAAGCTGCTGCCTCCTCTTCTGGTAATAATACAACTGATTCTTGAAAAAAGTTATTGTCTTTATGTCTTTCTGACTTACTAGTAGTAGATTTTAAGCTGAAATTTACATCTTTTGTGCAAAAGTGGTAAAACCCCTTAAAACAGAATACTTACTAAATTTCAGATTGTGGGTAGTCTTAGTTTCGCGATTTTTTATCAAATGTTTATACAAATCTGATGTTTTCCACAATTTAGTGAGAAAATCCTAAATGATGTAAATGCACATTTCCTGATCAATGCCAAGTTTGCTTCTTGAAAAAACCCTTAAAATAAGAGGAGTGTGGCACAAAAAAATGCATGATTCCTGAAGCTGGTGGAGAGAATAGTCTGTGGCATTACTGATATTAAGTAACTTAACTCAATTATGTCCTCTAGGGTGGTGAATAAACAGAAATAGACAGTGTGGAGTATGTACTGTCAATAAAGGTTTTAGCTTTATAATGGTATCTATTGTTAAAGAAATTGACTTTAGGCCTTAATCAACACCAAAAGCTAGCTCATGAGGGGAGGATTGCCCATGTCATATAAAGAGACCACCCATCCTATTAACCTCTGACGTGGAACTTCTTCAATCTTCACACACCCTGGATGGATATCTAGAATGTGGACACTTTAATATGGCCTTCCGTTGTCATGAAATAAGAATTTAATTGGGTCCTGCTCTGATATGAAATGGACCTTAGGCCTAAATCCACGAGACGTAATTTGCAGTTATTATATTCAAGTCTAAGAAATGTTAACTGAATCAAAGATGGTATGGAAGGAAAAGACTTGATCTTGGCATAAATGTAGTTGAGATGCTGGTCCGTTTAGAGTCCTTCACGGGACCTGCGCATAGCATGAGCTTAGTGCACTGGGCTGCCCTTTGTTTTTAGAGTTCTTCACCTGCGTAATCTTTTTCTTTTGTAATGGGCTAATGGCCATCTTTTTTTGTTGTACCTTTTATCTGGGATACTAATGAAAGCTACTAATTACCAGTATAAAAAAAAATGGTATGGAAGAAAAGATTTGATGTTGGCACTTGGCACAAATGTAGTTGAATTGCTGGTTTGATCAGAGTCCTCCGCATAGGATGGTATGAAGAAAAGATTTGATCTTGGCACAAATGTAGTCAAATTGCTGGTTTATTTAGAATTCTCCACCTGCACAATTTTGTTTTGTAACGGCGATCTGTTTTGGTTGCAACTGACCTCCAGCATTCTCATTTTGCTGGTTTAATAATAAAAGTTGCTAGTTACCGATATAAAAACAAAGATGGTATGGAAGAAAGATTTGATCTTGGTACAAATGTAGTTGAATTTTTGGTTTGTTGAGAGTTCTTCACCTACTTGGATTATTTGGAGAATTTAGATCCGTTCTGATTAGAGGTTAGGAAGGACCCTCAAGCTATGAGAGTAGAATTAGACAAAGTCAGAATGCTGGAGTGGCAAAAAGGCATAAGAAAAGTAGCTTAAATAATCTTTTAATCCACAGATAACACGTAGACACTGCGCCATCATATATTTTAATGTTGTAGCTCAGAAAGACGAGTACCTGCAAAATAGCCTTTGACTTGTACTTGGCTACTTGCTATTTTTAATCCTTAGTTCTGAGATAAATCAAGTGGACTAATGTTTCTATATTATGCCTTCATGAAACAAGGATAACACTTGATCATATCTTTATGTTTGTTTGTGAGAGCTGACGTCTTGGCAATTTCCGTGGATTTAGTTGGAAGTGCAGAATACACAGAAGAACCAGCAACTAAGGTGAAGTTTCAAAGATCATTGAGCCTACCTGGTTGCTCTACTTCATTGTCATTGCTTGGAACTGGTCAGCTGCAACAACTCAATAGTCTTTTTCAAATAATTTGAGAATCAATTTCAATTATTGGTTTACCTGCCTCGAGTTCTTCTAGATCATGATAATGTGTTATGTTCTATGCTCATTTTTTGTTGCTCTTCCTACAAATTTAGGATACAGGGAAAAGATTTTTGCAATTATTGGTGTCAAGGTCTATGCTGCAGGCCTCTATGTCAATGACTCCGTCTTTAGTAGATTAGATGCCTGGCGAGGACGTTCTGCTGCAGATATTCAGCAGGATCCTTCCTTGTTCAACAATATCTTTGAAGGTAAATGGGTAATGTTTAATCGTTTGACAGGTGGGATGTGGAGGAGATGAGATCATCTACAGGGGTGCTAAAATTGATTTTATGAATTGCAGCCAATCTGGAGAAGTCATTACTTATTGTGCTGGTCAGAGATATTGATGGTAAAACTTTCTGGGATGCCTTAGATGAAGCCATTTCTCCTAGAATCAAGTCCCCTACTGCAAATGATAAATCTGCTCTTTCCACGTTCCGTGCCGTCTTTCAAGGGAAACCTCTTAAGAAAGAAACTTCCATATTCTTGACTTGGATTGACCCAACCAAAATGCTTGTAAGTATGCAGTTTATTTACATTATTCTCTTAAGGCCTACATTGTATCAACTCCAGTCATCAAATGTGGCTTTTGTTTTCTTCTTAGCTTTCTTAATTCTAATTTGTTGCTCTATTGTATGGAAATCTTAAAGGTTTCACTCTCTTTTGATGGGATGCCTTCCTCAGTTGATGCAACTGTTGAGTCACCAAACGTTGCATCAGCTCTCTTCGACGTATTTCTTGGAGGTGATCCAGTTTCTCCTACACTGAAAGCATCAGTCGCCAAAGGATTGGAAGCTACGCTCAAGTGAAGTACGTAATGAGTTAAGTCTTCCGTTTTGTTAGCATAGCTCCATTGGAACAAATTACTCAAAATTTTGTTAGTTTCCATGTATTCGGACCAAGGACAAGCATTATGCAAAACGAGTATCAAAAAAATAAAATTATATTATTTGAGAGAAATTAGCATTGGAACAGAACACCAAGAGTCTCATGCCAAAGCATTTATCTTTATTTGCTCAAGCATTATAACGACTTGTGCCATAGTAGGTCTGTTACTTGGATCTGCCTCAAGGCACATCAATGCAATGTTAAATACATGGTTAATTTCATCTATGGGAAACTCTTCTAAGTTTTTGTCAACTACATACTCTTCTCTTTTCTCTTGAACAACTGTCTTCACCTGTAAAACAGAACAAGAACAACTGACCGAATTAGTGACAGCTCGAAAGCAGCTAGCATGAAAAAGAAAAAAAGTGTACTACAAGCTTACCCAAGTTACAAGCCTGGTTCCTTCCTCCAAAAATGCTTCATCTGATGGCTTTTTCCCAGTTAGAAGCTCCAGTAAGACAACTCCAAAGCTGTAAACATCTCCTTTTACTGTTGCTTTTCCGGTGTCAAAATATTCTGCAAAAGACCATAATATAATTGATAGTTTTCCAAACACAGATTTGAGTCTTTTGATGGTCTAATAGAAACATACCAGGAGCCAAATATCCAAAAGTTCCAGCTACCAAAGTTGAAACGTGCGTCTTATCTGGTTCCATCAGAGTGGCTAGTCCAAAATCAGATACTCGAGCCTCCATGTTATGATCCAACAAGATATTGCTTGACTTAATATCTCTGTGGATAATGTGAGGGATGCAATCGTGATGCAGATATGATAATCCTCTTGCTGCTCCTACTGCTATTTTATATCTTGAAGGCCAATCCAAAACCTTCCTGGCAGCCGATTTTCCTGCATTATGATGTTACCATTCTTAAAGTTCATCTGTATATCAAACACTTGAAAAGTCTTTATTGTGCATCTCTGATTCTAGCATCAGCAGAAGCTGAAATAAGCTTAAAAGATTGACCAATCCTTAGAGCTATGTTGCTTGGACTCCAAAAAGACCTCTGGAGGCAAGTCAGGTCCTCCAAAAGTACATCATTTTTGGAGGATCGGACATGGATGTGGCTACATTTTTGAGAGTCCGAGCAACATAGCCTTAGACAATTAGAAACAGACATAAACATATACCATGAAGTACTTCATCTAAACTTCCGTTAGTCATAAGCTCATATATCAGAAGGTTATACTGAGTTGTACTGTAGTATCCATGAAGTGTCACTATATTTCGATGCTTTATGTCCCCCATTGCCTCCAACTCTCTTTCAAAACCTCTGTCTTGTTCTGCACTTATTCTGTTTAACCTCTTTACCGCAAAAGAAATTGATTCGTTAATTGTCAGTTTATAGACAATTCCATAGCCTCCTGATCCTATAATATCTTTGTTAGTCAGCTTCATGGTCCTTTTCAAGAACATGTTGGACTTCAACGTGTTCATTTTCGGCGACTGAAACATCACTAGCTTTCCACCTGAATATGAACATAACAAAAACATAAGATAATTCCTCATCTATCATATCGAATCTTGAATATTGAACATCATATCATACCAGATAAGCTGTCTTGAACAACCATTTGCTTTCTCTTCCATCTACGGTAACAGACGATTGTCATAATAATCTTCGAGATGATAAAAGAAACCACACATATTGTTACATAGAGTGCAATATTTTTAGAATTTCCCATTTAGTTCTGCAAGTAGTTAGACCAAGTTAGAAACCAACATTGTGTTCATTTGAGCAGAAATATGGAGTAAAAAAAACAGGTACCTGAATACTCAACGACTCTTAGACTTTGGCCTCCCAGCTTTAACTGTGGAATTACATAAAATGTTGTTAATCAGGTGTACCAGAAGAAAGAAACACAATGGAACAACAGATTGTTAGTGAATAGGAGCTGTTTAAACTAAATGCAGGTTTTAACTGTTATTCCTGAGCAACGCCTTTTCACTTGGCGTTGTTGGATATCTCTAAGGCTGACTTTCGTCCCTACAATCAATCTTCCTTCTGTTTTTTCACTCAAGGGCCAATCTTAACACACAACCTAAAGTGCCTACATTCCACTTGCAGAAAATACAACCACAACTTAACATACACGAGATTCAACAACCAAAGCTACTGATAGTCCCAACGGAACAGTATCTTCCTATAACAGTCCACAGTATTGAACAAGCAAGTCATTGGTCCAAGAAAAGAACCATCTTCTGAAAAGAAAAAAAGAACTAGCTAGGCCTTCAGAAAAAAGGCGATAATATCGTTCACACTTCAGACACGACTTCAAAATTTAGCTAGCGTTTGACCATAGATTTTGGGAGTTGTTTTAGAAAAATTATCTTCAAATATCTGTTTTGGCAATGAAATTTTCAAAAAAAATTCGAAACACCACTTCAACAACTCAAATTTTGATCTTCAAAATCTATGATCAAACGGAGAGCTACTAAAATCAAGAAGAGTACTTCAAATACACAAGCTTTAAGATGTTAGAATAGGACTTCACCTTGAAACTTTATTGCAGGAAGTGCTCATTTTCTTGAAGCAGACATCAAGAAGGTACCCCAGCAAATGTTTTTTTTAACCAAAGAAATATCATGCATAGTTCTCAAACCAAAATCATTCAATGAAAGTTACTAAAAGACATCAATTTTAGGAGCATCTAATAATAGTGGGTCCAAAGTTAGCTCACCTGTCAGTCTTATAAAGAACTCATTATCAGTATGAACAAGTCTCATGTGAATATGATTTATTTATTTTTTGGGCTTTTTCCCTAACTGATAAGGCTGTTTTTAAAATTTCAATCATTGATATATATGTTCACAAAACATAAAATACTAGTACTTCACTATTCATGGAAAGTCAGAAAGACCTGCCAACCTTTCATGTATGCATTATGTACTTTTTGTTGTCGTTATTAGTGTCCCCTCCATGAGTTAGGTTGCCAACATACTTAATTAAATAAAAAACATATACGTAAACGTAATCTTGAAACTTATACATACCCAACTTTTGTTGAAAATATTGACGTTTTACACTTGAAGAATTAACGTGCAAGGTGATATATATAGGTCCACCCCTCTATTCTTCTTCAAGTGAAATTAAGTTTTTTGTAACATTAGATAACACTCCAATGTTTTGTCTTGTAACATTGAGCAATATATGAGTAAAAATTAGACATGAATCTAACGTTGTTCAAAATGTTTTTTTTCCGAAGGCTATATTTGTACAACTATTAAAACTAGGAACAAAATCTAAATGATGGCCTTTACATTTGCATAATCAACTCTTCTCCACTTATATATTAGACTTTTGTGTACAATAGAATTCAAACTCGTGACGTACACCTAATCCACACATCACATACTAGGCTCTTACCATTTACCAAAGCAGGTTGAAATGTGACATATATTATTTGGTCTCATAATTAATATGGCACCAGCTGTCGTTTTACAATTATGTGGATGTTGAGAATATTATCAACATTACAAGGATTGATTTTCTTGGAAAATGTTTGACCTGTCAAACATGCTATTAATACTCTCTTTAATTTATATAGCTCCAAACTGCCGCATGAATCTTGTGAAAAGCAAGAAGCATCTTTTTGGGGGGGGGAAAAGCAGATCTTTTTGACGTTTGGGAGTGTTTAATTATTAAATTAGGTATAAAGTTTGAATTATTTTTTTTGTAGTTGGGGGTTGTTCACACGAACAAATCATAACAAGTGAGAGTGTCAATATTCAAAAGTTATTTTTGCTTTAGGGCATTTTGTTGGAATTACACTGAATATGTTATTGCATTCTATTAGTATCTGAAATCCATCAAGTATGACAAATCTGAAATTGCACCAGGCGAACACGCTTCCCTACTAAGAGGTTTTCAATTTCCAGTCAAGCAGGAGGAGGTTTACAAAAATCTATCACATCGTTTACATTCACAAATTGCTCAGACATTCATATATACGAAGTATAAAACCCCATCCCCCCTCTTAGTTTCTCTTTCTCCTTTGAACACTTCCTTTTTTTCATTTCTCTGATATGGCTATACAAGTATAAATCTTGAGTGACCTACTGGCTTCTCACAATCCTGCAATTTCAAGATTTCTAAAAATTACTTAAAGAAGAATAAATGAGTTGGCTGAATAAATGGATGATCAAAAGAGTAAGAAATCTTGCCTTCCGAGTCGCCTGAGCTCAGGCTGTTCAAGCAGCATGTCTTGAATTGGCCTTATCGTCGTTCCCTTGACCCCAGAACTACAATGGACAATAGAAAAGAACACTCTTAGTGATGCTGAGATCAACTCTGTATGTCTCACATGCTCCCAAACTTTCTTTCACATAGAAAATCTTACAATGCAATGGAAATAGGTAAAAGTAAGAAAGAGAACAACAAGAACATAGTACATTTACCTGTAAATGAACTCGAGGGACATAAGTCTATGGTGAATGGTATAGTCACTTCCAACATAAGTGACAACCAAGTTACCAGCGTCAGGGTGGGGCCAGCTCCTTGATGTAGGAAACCGCAGTATATAAGTACCTGGTTCTTGAAGAGCTCCCAGACTTTTAAGTGAAGATTCTGCTTCTTCCTTGGTTATGAACCCTTCGATCCACATGGGTGATGTCGAACCCCACAATGAAGAAATACATTGCTGTGACAATGTAAAAGCTACTGGGTACAGCCAACACCACAACTTTTCAAAGTTGTCTTGAGACACTAGATCTTGACAACCAGAGACTCTCCTCAGGAGGTTGAAATCCTGGAAGTTGGACAAATTCATCAGCAAGACAAGCAAATAATTTTCAGAGTTGGTAATATTGTCAAAATAGTTTTGGAATTGTCAAAAGGCCAACTTGCACACAACTCAACTATTCCACTGGATACTTGCTACCTCCCACCAACACAAGTACTGGTGATTCTGCCCCACGCCCCCACCTAACCTAGTGTTTTTTTTTGTTTCTATTGGAATTTTGAACCCTGGTCTCCAAGGTTTACACCCACTACATATTAGCCACACCCTTAATATGCAAATTGGCCTTTCACGCTGTCCAAAATAACCACATGCCAACAAAAAATGACTTTGGAATAGAAAAATGAGAATTCACAAATTTTATATGACAGATAATTATTCTCTCCGCCAAAAAGGGATGCTTCTCTTTCCCTTTTCCTTTAAACTTAATCTAGTCTTCTGCGGAAAAAATCCACCAAATCTTCCCAAACGCGATTGACATTACAAGTTAAAAAAAGGAATATAGTTCCGAATTTGGTGAGTAAGTGGATTTGGAACCTCAGAGAACATGTGGTAATCACACTAACTTCTAAATAGCCCTCTTTGAAGTATTCTTTCAGACTTCCTACCAGTTAAGAGAGAAAAAAGAGAACCTGATGAGTTAGAGATCTGATACGACCAAATGTCATCTTCAGGAAATGCTCTTGAAGCCCGGACACCAAATTCTCCCAAAGGACATGGTGGTTATCGTTGGATATTAAGTTCCAACAGTTAATTCCCTCTTCTATCAGCCTCTTTGAAATTGATATTTGATGCCTAAAAAGGTAATGTGATTCAGACAACAGCATGCAAGGTCACTAAATAGTGATGACAACAATGAAATGAAAATTGAAACCAAGACATGTGCATTTTGTTTATATCATATTGAACTGTGTGTCAATCTAACCCTGATCCATAAATTTAAAATCAATGTATTAATTCCAATAGTTCAAATTTTCCCTAGAAGCATATTGCAAGTGCACATGTTTTTATCCCGACCATGATATAAGCAACCCTTTCATCCTAAATTGATAGTTGATCCTATTTGTGATGTTAGAGATAATCTTGTTGCTTTTCAGAAATAACGTTTACTTTATATTAGTCATTTAAGAAAACATGATTCTAAACCTCATGAATTAATGAGGAAAAAACTTGGGAAAACAGCTATGCCTTGTGCTAGTCATTTTTTCTACGACTTAATTTTCTCAGAAGCAGATTTATGACGATTTCTTTTACATATTGGATGTCAATATCATTTTGGTATTACCCTTCCAGATTTCCTATCTTTTTACTTTTTCATATGTTACTTGTTTTCTTCCAAAGAGTAAGCGATTTCAAATGCTCAGGAGTCAGGGCCACAGGGGACAAATATAAAGGAAAATGACATAAACCATAACACACAAAAAACCTTCTGATTTTCTGCCATGAGATAAATCGCAAATGTTTTTTTGCTTGCGCATGCATATGCTCTATACATATTCCGTTCTTTCAGAACTTCAATGAAATAACAACGTAACTCTGAAAGAAGGGAATAAATGCCAAAAGTGGCCCTAAAAACTAGATGGTGTTAATATACCATTCAAAGACACCTCAATATGCAACAATATAAAAAAAATATACCTGTGGTGTGAACATCCAGAGAATAAAGAGACTCTCTCGGCAAAGGTTGCAAGTTCTTCTTCTTTAGCAGTCATTGCCATTTCCTTGAGAAGAAGACGCCTCTCGTTCAGATCAGCGAGACAGTATTTAAAAACAACCATATCAGAGATTGGATCTCTGTTACTTGGCAAGTCATCAATGGGCGAGTTCGTAGTTTCACTGTTCTCTGAATCAGAGGAGAAATTTTCTGCCCCACCATGGCTTACTGGTCTTGCCACCAAAGAGTTCTGATGTGCATGGTTATCCTATTTTCAATGCATGTGTTAGTGAGAGTGATGATAACAATAAGGTCGGGTATAAGAAGTTGTCAACAAGAAAAGATTTTAAGGACAAAAAATGGTATAGGATACAATGAAAGGAAGAATAATCATGATGATGATCGCGCACCAGCAATAAATATTGAAGAGAAATGCAGGTAGTAAAAACATTATTCGAGATCACAGTCCCTTGAATGATGACATGCATAATAGGAAAAACTTGTCGCCAAATAAGAAGTTTTAGAAAACATTCCTGAGAAGACGGAGTGGTATTAAGAGAAAAAAACAGAAGTACCAGCATTTCTAGAAGTGAAAGCACGAAAAAGCAACAAGGTACATGAGTGAATTGCACGGTTTACGGAAAATATTAAACACCGTACATATATGAATTTGACACTGTAAAAACCAAATTACAGTTAGAAACTAAGGACGACATCCAATATACAATAATGGCAAATTGGCAATGTTAATCTAATTCCTCACAGTTAAGATTCAAAAAAACCAAACATTTCTCATTTGGATCACTTTGTGCATCATGGTTTGAAGTGCACAGTTCTCTGAAGAGCATGACCTCACCCAAGAACCAATAACCCCTTGCTTCGCATCGCTTCATCACTTAAGAGACGATGGCTTTTAATAACACTGAGGACAAAAACTTGATGACAAGAAGAAACTTCATTTTCAAAACCAGCAATGACTTATACTTTCAACCTTATTCACCCACTTAACAAGTAAGGTAGTTATATGGCCCTATTTTACTTATCGTTTTGTTTGAACTTGGATTTGGGCACTAGGCCCAAATGAGTGATGTAATTGTTTTTCCCTTTTATACCAATAAAGCTGGAAATTTGAATTTTTTAAAAAAAGGTAGTTATACAAGGTGCAGCATTCATAAACATATACTCTTAGTTACATGATCTAAGCAATAGTGTCACTACCATATCTATCACGACCTGCTACAAAAATACTAGGACGAGGCAGATATTAAAAATACCTCAGAGGTCCAGGAATGAGATCTTGAACCACCATTAGCTTGCTTCAGCACAAAATCATCCTTAAAATTTGCACATAGTTTCTCTTGTCCTAATTTGACCCGTTTTGATGATGGACTTTGTTTTGCTTCACGTACAATACAGAGATGGTCAGAAGATCCATCGTCCAACACAGGAGATTGAGATCTATTTAGCAAATGGATCCCCAAAGATGATTTCCTCAACATTAGAGAGGTCGCCCGTGTGCTGCGATTCCGAGAAATACACCGTATTGGTCTGGAAAATACCTCAAGGAAAGGATATTTACCCAGTTTTGGAATGTCAAACCTAATGCGAAACAGCCTGTTATCGCACTTGGATGAAAGCTGCAATTGAGACAAAAGATTAATTTTCTAAATGGATTTAATAGAAAGAAGCATTATCTAAGTAATCAGATAGCATTAGTATGTTTATTCATCTCCAAGCATAACTCTCGTCAATTACCAGGTATAAGTGAACTACAACAATGCACTCTACTTGATGTTGTAATGGTGTTTACGTTCGACCAGCTACATAAAACGGTCCACAAGTAGTCAAGTTCACAGATTATAAACTAGGATGATTTTTATGAGGCATAATATATCCATATTGATGTGCTCATCCCGTAGAATATTATCATTCTAACTCTGGTGGCACAGATTGGCAGGATTCAATGTCAAATTTGCAACAGCTATGATCATGTAAAATAATTCGATGGTAAAAGGAACAAGCACGGACAATATTTGCCTCGTTAATCGCATATCTTCTTTCCAAGTAGAGACTGTGTTAATAAATATACCTTCGTCAAAGCAACTATTCTCTAATTCAAGATTGCAATCAACAAACACTTCTGCCCACTTTGTCTTGCAGGTATTAAAAGAAGAGATACAACTATCCAGTACCTGAGATATCTTGAGCTTAAAGGAAGCACGTCCACTTATTACTTTGCTTGGTCTATCAGAAGAAGCATATTCAATTCCATCATAACTTGTAAGAAGGGCTGCATCAGCATCAACTGGCTTCTCAACCGGTGTATTATCATCAGAGTACACAAGCGAAGCAACAACCTTTGAAAGCATAACATATATGGATAAGAACAGTTGCAGCAACTTACAGACTTCACTTAATTTTTTTATATAGACAAATAAATGACAAACCTCCGCTTCTTCAGTCATGGGGCGGCTAAAGTTATCCATCAGTGTTACATCTATATCAAAGTTTCTCCGACAGGAGGCCTGCTTTAAATATATAGTTAGAGGAGTAAATAAAACTCGTATCAGATAACATAAAGACATAAATGCTTCAGCAAACTCCCTCTAGCTATTTTAATCTTTATGAGAGCATCAGTTTTACAACCGACAGCTTTTCACCATGTTCATCTCAGAATATTCTCTCTCTCTCTGTGCCTTCTCACCCCTACTTCAACCAGCACACTAATTACCTTTAAAGGATAGTGTGCTTGGATCAGTCTCACTTTAATAAATTCTGCATTATTACCTCATATAAGAAGAAATGCCTAATCAAATAGGCATAAATGCCCATTTTGAGGATAACTATTTTTCTGCCTAGTCAAATAGTCCCTCGTAATATAGAAATGAAAAAGCATTAGGAAAAACGGATGAGCAGATAATGAGCTTTACCAACAATTGTACATGTCACTGTGCAACAGCTCATAAAATTACAAAGTCGCTCTCAATATAATGCAAAGTTATATGACATATTGCATGGCAATACAGGTCCACAATCCTCCAAGTTCTGGAGAGATGTCAGATCTTCATTGACAACCCTTGAAGATTTTAACTTTTAAGATTAGCAGTTTCGCAATGCTAGTTCTGCTGTTTCTCCGCCTCATGTTTCACAAAAGAAATGCAGAACTTTTGCAATTTTTTTCATAGTTCAACCTACTTTGCTGCTGTCATTTCTGAAGGACTTTGCTGTTTGGACAATAAGCAAATCTACAGAAAATATTTGCAAAAAACTCGCAAAACCCACACTTTTCACCTTTTGCGGAACAAATGAGGAGAAACGAGAAGAATTAGTGTTACAAGAAATTCTGAAGTATGCCTTTATTGCTGGTAAAATATCAAAGTAAACCATTGCTGATCTTGAATATTCAACGGTTGTCAATGACATTCGGATGTCTATCAAGGACTTCGAGTCATGTGGATTTGATGTAATGTAGCAAGCTTTCACCGCCTAGATTTGATCCCATCACTTAAAAATCAACTTTAAATAGAAGATGCATGAAAAAATTGAGGATTAACGCAGATGTTCAACACATTCTAAAGTAACAGTACTCGATCTTGGGAAGATTATTCACAACACAGAGCTAGAAGTTCGTACGGGGAAGCAGGGATCAATTTTTTATAATGTTTCTTACTATACTGATTTGTGTCCAAATAATTTGTCAAGATTTGGTCTGTTTCCAGATCCCCTGGATATTTCTCCCAATATATTTCGAAGCAGTATATATTTTTTACCTTTCCACCAACAATGCTCCAAACACCATCACTGTCTTCTTCAATTTCATAGGCGCTTGAACTATCAATAGATAGTTGTACTGGAGGGTCCTGATAGGTGCACATAGCAGAAACTAGTAAATACATGAGTAGAGACGATCTTCGTAAAATTAATGACAATTCTGCTTACCTTAACATAGTGATTTTCTATAGTTGATAGTATAGGAAAGAGCTCTGAACTGTGCACATAACCATCCAGCTGAGAATCCTTTCCACTAATGCAAGTCAAAGATATTCTAGAATTGTCTGATCCCATATCATTACTGAGTGAGGGTGAGGAAGTCAAACACTTCTCACCTACAATCTTCCCATCAAAGTAGAGGTGCAAAAGATCTTGTGTGACCTGAAATACTCCACTAATAAGTGTTGCTTAAACAGCCATGAAACAAGACAGTCACCAAGAATCTGGCTTTCAGAGAAGAGCAGATAACAACCTTATGAGATCTTTGGACTGGTGATAGATTTAGATGATGATTCAATTAGTGTATTACCTTTGTTCCATATCAACGAACATCATATAAAGATCTCGTTTGTGCATTACATTCAATTTTTTCTTACACATCATGTCACACCAGTAATTATACTAATTCTGGTCTAGTTTGTGCTGTCAGAACAAGCATACTGATGTCACTAGTCTAGTATGTTGGATGGAAACCAGTGAAGCAGATGACTCATGGATCTATTGGATAATGAGTTTCACATCAATCCGGCTTTGCTAACTTTTGGGGCAGAAAAACTTCACTTGACAAAGTGAAAAGCGACTAGGTGTAAGGCCAGTCTTTTAGTTTCCGTATTCTTGTGTTAAAATTCGCTTTTCCAGAGAAAACTTAACGACAAAATCAATATATCTAATATAGTGACAATGAGCAAAAAAACTACTGTAGAAGGTAACAATGGGCATGGTGGAGTGAGAAAGTAGTAACACAACAAGGTTAAGAGTATATAAATTGCAAAACACACATCAAGTGCTAAGAATGCAATTATAGGAACTAGGGCGAGTCCAAGTTATTTACCTCACATCCAACATGAACCCATTTCTTGGTAGGAAATTCACATTCAGAAATTGCATGTGCAACTTCTCTCCAGGAAGTAATATTTGAATGGCTTGAAATTAGTGAAGGGAAAAGTAAAATCTTCTTCCTCTCATCAAGTAACAGGAAAGGAGCATGGGATGTGACATCTGGATGCTCCTGCATAATTGACAAACATCATCAACTATATCAAAGGAAAATGGTGCAAAGGACACAATTATATCTTGCACAACATATTCAATGAAGTGATCATAAAGATTCAAAAGCCTCTTCCTTGATAATACGAGGTATGGCTAGGTTTATGTCTTCGAATAGTTGCAACTCTCAAAAAATCTGTTCTTTAGTAGAAAAGCATGATTTGCAGATAGCTATATGTGGTCAGAGATTCAATTACCAAAAATCAAGAGCTAAAGCAGGCACACAAAGTAATAATGAACAGAATATAGGCTTAAATAAAGACAGTAAGGTAATCCAAAACACAACATAAAAACTAAAAAAAAGACTTTGCTAAGTTGCAAACTACCAAACAAACTGAACTTAAGAGGGTATCTGCACAATAAATAAGAAAAACATATCCATAAAAGCAAAAAACAAAAGAACATGAACAATTCACATTAGCCTGAAGAAACAATTTGCAACTCGCCAATTCCTAAACCATGGACGATCTATAAAGTAAAAATCTTTCCACAAGACATCAACAACAACAGTATATCCAATCCAATCCCACCAGTGAGGACCCTAGAGGATAGAGTGTACGCACACCTTACCCCTACCTCGGAAGGTAGAGAGGCTGTTTATCATAGACCCCAGCTCAAGGAAAATCATATAAAAGAGGTAAAGAAAGTATGACAAAGCATTCTAAAAATCTTTCCACAAGAGTATAACCTAAATCAGCAAAAAGAATGTAACCGCCATAAGAATGTTAAATAAAAGGAATACCCCCAAAACCCCATCTCATTCCCAACACGAACAACAGTCATACACTAACTAGTTAGACAAAATGAAGCAGCAAATACACAAAACTGATACACATAACTACTCAAAAAGAACTGAAAAAACAGCATTTTTTTCAGTGAGCAAAAAAAAAAGGAAAACCTGGTAAAGGATTGTAGAGGGTAAAGTTGAGGGTTCATTCAAGTATAACCAGAAACACAAAGAGAACTTATTTGTAACTTCATAATCTTTGAATTCCACTTGAAGATCTCTCAAAAAGCTATAATCTTGAACACCCATAGAACCCCTTTCTCAAAAAAAATCAAAAAAGAAAACACCCACAAGCACAAAATCCCAGAAAAAAACGATCTTTAATCTTTGTGACTCAACGGCGGCAATGGCTGCGTCGGTTTTTCTTGACGGCTGTTAATTAACGGTTTGGTAGTGTCATCGGCAGTTCAGGTTCTAGTCTTTACAGTTCCCCCCATATTGAAGTATTTGGCTATAATCCTCTGTATCGCGGACTTATGTATATTTGAATGGTGACCAATAAGAATGTGACACGTAGGATTTTAAAGAAGATTGAATTTTTTTTCAAAGTGGAAGTCAAAGCTAAAATCTTCTTTTTTTTCAAAAAAAAATCCTCCAATTTCATAATTTCTTTTTTTTAGCCTCCGTTCATTTTTAATTGTTAAAGATACAAAAAGTTAGATGTTTATATTTATTTGTTTTGTTTGGAAAGCTAATAGATAATTTATCGTTTATACTCATTTTACCTTTATTATTAAGTAATCATTATTTTTAATTCATTTCCTAATGAGTAAGATGATTTATAATAATTAGAGGTGATATAGTAAAATAATTATTTTATTTGTTGCTTATTATCGCGCTGTCATGAAAACAAAAATAATTTACTAAATATTATTTACATAAAAGAGGTATTATATATATATATAGTCTTCTTATGTATATTTATTATATTTGAATTTTAGTTGAAATTTTTTAAATACTTTTTTTGAGAATTTTCTTCATACATAAAAAGAATAATAAAATAAAATAATTATATTATACCTTCCTATAAAAGTATAGATGTATAATTTGGTTCCATAGGCAAAAAATATGGAAAAAAATTACATGTAATATCTTCTTTAGATGAAAGAATATTCTTATGATTTATAACGATTTAAAATAAATAACATAAATACACTATTTTTTGAAAGTGAAAAAAAAACCGATAGAAGAAGAAATAAATAAATATAGTTTTAAAGAATAGGTGATATGTATTGGATTTGGTAATTATAATTAATATACTTTTACTGTAAATAAGTAATAGTTACAATTAAATAATGAGTAATATTTTAATCCTGGAACTTCTACGTACCAATTAACTTTAATGTAGAATAATAATTTTTATAACATGAAAAAAATATAATTAGCGTTCTTGTTCTTAAAAAGTAAAGTCAATTAATTATTGTTATTATAATTTCAAAACATTATGAGCATGTAAGCCAATATGAACTCAAACAATGATGACCCAAAATGCCCTCTTCTCGTATTTATTCTATATTTAAGTTATTTATCCCGATACAATATATATTTGACTAAATATACATACATCATCTTCTTATATTGAATTTTAGAGATAAATCTAGTACTAATTTATAATACTAATTAGAACTAAAAGAAATTATAGATTTACAACAATAAGAAGTTCATACAAGAATTAAACTTAAAAGTCATCATAAAGATACACAAGAAAGAAATAATACAATACATATATCATTGTGACTTTAACCATTAAAATAAAAAATTGAAGGAAAAACAAAATCAATACATATTGTCTAAAATCTTGTCATATCCACTTCACAAGTCTATCAATATTCAAGAGCTTTCCTCTTCTTTTTCAAGTCAAACAAAAGCAGAGAGACATTACTCTTGTTGATATCCAATTCACAAATCTATCACTATCCAAATGCTTTCTTCGTAAAAAATTAAATTTAAGAGACATCATAGAGATATATATAAAAAAAAAGTAAAAAGGAATAGTACAATACACATATCATTAAAAATAGAAGGAAAAAGAAATCAATACATAATTATCTAAGTTGTTGTCAATATCCACTTCACAAGCCTATCAATATTCAAGAGTTTTGTTCTTCTTCTTCGTTTTCAAGCCAAATAAAAGCATGAATATAATACTATAGTAAAAATGAAGGATAACTTTGGATAAAATCTCATGAAACAAAAAAAATGAATTTATATAGAAATAATAGAGGAATATCATAAAGTAACTTTCATATTTAATGGTTATGAATATGAAAAGTTGTAAATTATGAGAGTTATAACTATATGCATATTATATCTAATAAAGAAGATATATTATGGTGGAAGAGGGTTATGAATATGAAAAGTTGAAAATTATGAGAGTTATGAATATATGCACATTATACCTAATAAAGAAGATATATCATAGTGGGAGATGAAAAGTTGAGTAATTGAATATAAAGACTTTATGAGTTATTAAAATAAAATAAATAATTAAATGAAGAAAAATGGTAAAAAAAAAGGAGGAAAAAGATAAATGTAAATGGAGGCCATAGAGAGGTGTCACATCACATTGTCTATGTTCCTCCTTTATATAAATATATAGATGTGTCAAGTCAAATATAGACGAAAGGAATAGTATTTACATTTTGAAAATGTTAAAAGGTTTTTGGTACAAAGAATGTTGAAACTTGAAAATCGAAAAGCATTACATAATAAAGACTTTACGAATAGTTTACTATAAAGCTAAAAAATTTGTGGGTTACATAAGTGATCACATAATTGTTACGTTGTTACAGCATCGAAACGTCGTGAACAATCACAAAGATAACTTTTCCCCAAATATACAAGTGCCAATAAAACTATGAACATACAACAACATACCAAATAACATACCAAATGTAGTCTCACGAAATGGGATCTGAGGTGGATAGAGTGTACGCAGAGTATGAACATGTAAGATATCTACGTAGAGTATGCTAAAAATGAGTACATTTGACCAACTTATATATTATGTATATGTGAACATATGAACTTTTAACACATCACACAGAAGAAACTCTCAAGTTTAATTGAAACTTTAGAAGCAACATTATTCCTGCATATGAATAATTCTGCAGCTTGATATCTTGAATTTCTCGTAAAATCGATAACTTTGGTATTCTACGCAGCACATTTCTACTTTGGCTTCAATTTCAGGGAAGCGCTGCACGAATAAGCTAGGTTTCAATCTCATATAAATGCTAATGACAAAATTCAGAGCAACTGAGAATGAGCATAGACTGTATTAAAGGAAGTAAAGTAATGTACCTATTGATGCAGTAACGCTTTCCAGTAGGCGGAGGGCCATCATCAAATACATGCCCAAGATGAGCATCGCAAGCTGCACATAGAACTTCTTGACGAGGCATGAAAATGATAGACAAGTCCATCTTTGACTTCACATTGTTGTCTATGGGCTGGTAGTACGATGGCCACCCGGTTCCACTATCAAATTTGGTAGAAGATCTGCAACAAGCAATATCGAATTTCAGGTTACAAATGATAACAAAAGTATTAAGAATGGTTTGAGTAATAATCAAATATAAGGAGAACACATACTCAAATAAAGGAGTGTCGCAGCAAATGCAGTGATATGTTCCAGGGGTCTTACTGTTCCAGTACTCCCTGGAAACAAGAACAATGAAGAGATCAGTAAAACAGGCAGCGACGAAAAATTTATAGCACCATATTTACCATCCCAATGGAAGGGTACTAAGCAATCAATGAAACTACATTACTAGACTACTACATATATAAGCAATGCAATCATGGGATATCCTTAATTAAAATATCGTCTACAATTTGATATAGAAACTTGTTTGCACGCATAACGTCTAGAGACGTTCCAGCATACCACATCATGTCTGTGGTAACGATCCTTGGGCATTTAGAGATGAATTCTGAATTCAGGGCTGAATCAATTTTGGGGAAGATTCTCAAATTTAGCATAGACTATTATCATCTAGTATTAATGCAAGCATTACTAATACACTCTATTTAGCATCATTCCTATACACTTTACCAAACGACCCCTAAGAGATCATCTAGTTCCTAGTTCTTGCTTTTAAGTAGGATCGAAGAAATACCGAACTCAATATGCTGACAACCTCCCCGTGTCTTCCTCTCTCTGACACGTGTAAAATAACAAGCAGTATGTTTAGTGGTCCAGTATTTGACACAGATTATTACAAGACAATAGGAAATGTGAAGGTTAAAGTAGGGTGTGTTTGTAAAAGATCTAAGAGACATTGTGATGGTTGTCGCAGGTAGCTGAAACTGGAAGGCCAAGATTGTTGTAGAAACTTTTAAATATCGGATTCTGATGAGGACCAAATATACACATTCCCTCTAAATACTTCTCCTTCTTTTTGCGTTTAGGTGTATAGAAGTCTACTGTTTCCCCTAAATCGTTGGGTTTATAAATGGAACCCTCAAAAAATCTGCCGCAAAATCTCATCTACATACCCCAAGTCATCAAACTTTTCCTTCTAAAATCCAATTCTTAAATTAGCCAGCCTTGTCCTCCTCAAATGTATATGCTAACATTTGATCAATCAGCAATACAACAGTAAGCATCAGACTACTCACCAATATTCGAATACTGATGGTTAGCATCCTAATATTATTTAATTTTACTGACAAGTGATAATCAAAAGACAAAAGATCCACTCCAGCATAAAAGGAAAAGATGAATAGAAAAAGATCATACCCAGTGAATGCCCGTTCTGTACCCTTTTGCCGTGTAATGTAAAATTGTTCATTTGTTAACTTCTTCTTCCACTCCTCATCGCTTACAGAGCTATAATCCATTTTACTGGCCCCTGCACAATGATGTTCATTTTTTATGTCATGGTAAGATGAATCACATCTCCGAAAGCTCCATACTTTAACAATTTCAGCAACATCTCATAAGATGAATAGACAAATATGCTTCACAAAGCTTAAATTTATGCCAAACCATTTCGAGACTACTTCACAAAAATACCATCAACCTCAGCAGTATAATAATCTTATCTTAGTAAAATCAAGTTGTACATTGTCACATTGATGCGAATACGGACTCTGGGCATAATTCAACCCCAAAAGCTAGCTCACGAAGTGATGATTGCACAAGATGGCACATAACCACATCCCCACCGATATCTAACTCTACAAACATTTTGAAAGTTTTCATGTTCTTGTGGCATTTCAACTGCTTTCTTGAGCCAAATTCCCAGTTCCCAAAATTCTTTTATAATGGTTCTTGACTATTCCACAACAGTAGCTGCTACTTCCCACCAGCACAAAGTACAGGTAATTCAATCAATCTCCATAATAACTTGGTACAAATTTTGTAAGAGATACAACAAGCTCAGAACATAAAAACTAAAGACTGAACCTTTAAAGTTCTTTCATATTCTAACTTTTACTATAGTGTAAGCGGAGCTACCACTTCTCCTACACGTTTGACAGAACCCAATAGCTTTAGCTCAAACTTGTATTTATATTGAAAAACAAACCACTTAATATGTATATAAGTAACTTATCAACATTCTAGAATCCAAAACCTATAAACTAACAACCAGGAGGGGGTCACCGGGTTCACGTGAACCCATGCTCCCCTCCTGAAATCATATATAGTAGTGTTATATTTTTTAAAAATATTTAAATATAGATATGTGAACCCACACTTGAAGTATTATACCGTGCGATTATGTTGGGTGCACCTCTCCAGAGGTTAGAAATTTGAATCTTTTAGTTATCTTGTTTTATTTTCCTTTTTAAAATTGGGTAATATCTCTCTAAGTGGTTTGGATAGGTAAAAATAACTTTGGACCTATAATTTTAAAATTTTTATTATTTTTAGTGATAAGAACCTAAATGTTAAATCGATCAAATTTATATCTTAGATCCACCTTTTTGTAATAGTGCAGTCATCATCTCAAAATTCTGGATACGCCTCTGCTAACAACAACAACATATTCAGGGTAATCTCATGAGCGGAGTCTGAAAGGCAATAAATTGAGGCATTCAAACAAAAATGGAAAAGTGATTCTCTATTCTTACAAATTATACATAAATAGAGGAGAGAAAAAGGAGACCTTGAGCACTATCGGGTTTCGAAGAAGAAGCTGAGGAGCCCATTGCGCGAATTGAGACTGAAATTCTGTTTCTGAATCCTCCAAAAGTTAGGCAAGACAATGGCTTGCTGTTAAATCCCAATTGGGGTTTTGATGAAAAGTTCACTGCTGAGCTGAAAGAGGATATTGGTATGGTCCAAGAAGCCATGGACATATGCTAAAATTAATTCTTGAATATGAAAATGCTGGTATTTTCTAGTATTCATAGAGGATATGTTCCCATGCTCCGCAAGTCCATTGAGAGATGGTGGTTTATCATCATAAGCCGCTAAAAATGTTGACTTGTCCTTTCCTATCCACCGTAGATATACCAGGATGTAATATGAGAATTAAATTTGTATGATCTATGTATTTAAATTACAAAATATAAATATATACCGAGTTTTTCATTTAGGTAGTTTTTGTTTCTCCATGTTCTTCTTAACTACTTCGAGATAATAGTTTTTAGTGATTTTTGTTTCGTATAATGACAATAGTGAGCAAAGTAACTATCAAGAATAAGTAGAGGTCTCGGGTTCGAGCCCTGAGTATGGAGAAAATCTTGTTGGAAGCGTCACCCCCGAATGGGCCCTGCAGAGCGCAATTCGAATTTAGTCAGAACTTCAATGTGGGCTCCAGACACCGGGTGGGAAACAAAAAAAAAAGTATTTTATTCTACATTTTCAATTAGGTAAGTGGAGCACGATACTTCACGAAATTTAACATTTAAAAAGAGAAAGGATTATGTTAGTGCAAGCATGAATGGCAATCCCTTCTACCATGCCAATACTTTTGCTTAGCTTAACTTTGAAATTAGCTGAGATCTTGATTTTAACTACATATATCTATATTGGTTTATTGAAAAGAAAAGTATAAATGTGTCGGTTTGAAATGAAGATACTATGTGTGATCACTTTATCTAAAAGTTCATATGTTAAAAGAGAATTTATCTATTTACGACACTGTATGTCTATCTAAAATCTTACTGGTTGTGACCAGCTTTTGATCGTGAAGTCGAGTGTAGCTGAATATGCCTTATTTTGAGTAGTGGTGTTCTTTCAGTTGGCCAAGATTGAGGCTTATAGATAACCACGTTAACTGAAAATAATTTTAATGGGCTTTGCATTGCTACTGGGCCTGGGCCACAAGCTTTTATTGCCTGATTGGGCCTCAAGTTCTCTGACGGTAAAGGTTTATATGTTATAGCCATTTGTACGGTGGTGTTTAAGTGGTAGCCAATCTAATTACTCCCTCCGTCCCATTTTATGTGGCAACATTTCCTTTTTGGTCAGTCCCAAAAAGAATGTCACTTTCCTTATATGGTAAGTATTTAAAGGTGCAATTCCTCTTTTACCCTTGTTGGTCCCACTTAATCTTAAAATAATACTCCAATACATTTATGAGGAGAGAGAAAAGTGAGTGTACTTTTTAAAGGGCAATTTGGTAAACATTTCAAAGTCTTCATTTATTTCTTAAACTCCGTGCCCGGTCAAATGTTGCCACATAAAATGGGACGGAGGGAGTATTATTTTTGCAATTATAGTTATTTTGTTTTAGACAAATATTAGATACTTTATTGTCCTTATTAGTACATATTAGCTATTGGTTGAAATTAAGAGAAAACAACACAAATTTCATTGATAGGGTCTAATTATGTGTCTTCTCGTGTGTTTTCAAAATTACCATTCACGTCAGATTTTGATTCGAGGCACATGTATCTTGTGTGTATTGATATATGTATCTTAGATATATGAGATCAAAATTTGCTATAATTTATTTCAGATACATTGTATCCCAGTGTGATTTACATATATTTGAGATATATTGACTCTCTCGCTCGCTGCTCGTCTCCCTCCCATGTATTTCCATTTCAGAATGTCTTGGATTGTATCTTGTATTTTGGATACATATATCTAGTGTGATTCACGTACACATGTTGTCACTCTTGCCTCCTTCCTATCTCACTCGCCTCACTCGTATATCCTCGCTCAGTATTTTTTTCCTTATGTATTGTGTTTCAAAGTATATATGATAGCAAAAATACATATATCCGGGTGTGTCTAACTTCAATTTTGATATAAAACTATTAATTAGTTCAAATTATAGGAAGAATTAATTAATATAATTAAAATATTTGTATAATTATATAATTTTTCCCAGAGCCATCAAAATGGGCTTAGCCCATGGGGCTGGTGGCCCAACCCGTTATCGGGGTAGGGTTGGGAATAAGATTTTTCAAGCCCCTTCAAAACTAGGGCTTATAAGCCTGATCCATATAAGCCTTGCTCCTTGAGGCTTAAGCGAGATCAGGCCAGAGTCGGCCCATGGGCCAAAACTATTTATTTTGGGGTAACTTATAGGATTTTCACTAGTGTATGAGCTAATTACTTAGATGCACGTTATGTTGTAATAGTATGAATCTTACCAGATATTGGTGTGTCCAGAGACACATAGACTCAAAATTATGTGTTATTTGTTTTAGATATACTCTATGCATGTATCTAGGATACATTGACGAATCCCACACCCTCGCCTCCTTCCCATCTCGCTCGCCACTTTCTTATCTCGCTCGGGTATGTGGGATGCATCACACCAAATACATCTATCTCGCGTATCTAGTATCCTAGATACATGCTAATCACACTGAATTTTTTTGCTTGTGTTATTGAAAAAACACCATTGTTTGTCATATTTGATTTGAAAATCTTCTTGATGTCATATTATTTTAAGTTTGAAAAGAACAAAAAATGAAAGAAAAAAAAAAGGCTAGCCCGCCCCTGCCCGCAACCCTTCTAGGATTGGGTTGAAAATTTTTAGGCCCTTTCAAATTAAGGGTCAGCCTGCCCTAGCCTTTCAAATTTTTTGACCCACGAGATTTGGAACGGGTGGGACTAGGCTGACCCTTTTTGACAACTCTAGTTTCAGTAAGTTTTATCCAAATATTAAACAATTTGACTATAAATTAGAGAGAGTCCTATAAAAACTGGATAGGTTATCTGTGCACTTACCTGGATCCGACGTGTAATTCGTAATAAAATACTATTGTTTTGTCACATGGGGCGTCTCCATCAATTACTCTCAATCAAGAATGACTCAAACGCCAAAGCAAAATTTTGAAGAAGAAGAAGAAAAGAGGGATAGTGTAGAAAACATGAAAGGTCTAACAACACCTTTACAATCAAAGTATTGGCACCCAACATCCCTAAACAACCTCAAAAACCCAGAAAGTTTCAATCTTTACAGTCACCCAGTTCAATTTAATGGCAAAAACAACAACCCCATATCAAGAAAAGTGAAACCCATCTCTTGTTTTGCTTCAGAGAACACAAATCAACCAATCTTGAAAGAATCAAAGCCTCCATTGGTTGTAGTTGGATCAGCTAATGCAGATATCTATGTGGAGATTGATAGGTTACCAAAAGAAGGGGAAACAATTTCAGCCAAAACAGGTCAAACATTGGCTGGTGGAAAAGGGGCTAATCAAGCTGTTTGTGGTGGAAAGCTTGATTATCCAACTTTTTTTGTTGGTCAAGTTGGTGAAGATGCTCATGGGAAATTGATTACTGAAGCTTTAGAGAGTGGTGGAGTTTGTGTGGATCACCTTACTACTGTTTCTAATGCTCCAACTGGAAATGCTGTGGTGATGCTTCAGTCTGATGGGGAGAATTCGATTATTATTGTTGGTGGTGCAAACATGTCTTGTTGGCCTGATGAATTGTCATATGAGGATTTGGAGATTGTGAGAAGTGCAGGGATTGTGTTGCTCCAGAGGGAAATTCCAGATTTTGTTAACATCCAAGTTGCAAAGGTTTGAGCTTTTCGGTTTTATGTTTGATTTCTCAATGGCTATATTCAATTAGGCGAAATTCAATTTGTGTGTGGATTTGTTAAACTTAGAATCGAATATGTTAGGGTGGGTTACTGTCCACATTGGTTAGGGAATGGAATGATGGTTTAATAATATGTAGTTGGACAATGCGAGTTAGGCTCGGGTGCTATAGCTTTACATGGTATCAAGTTAGGCCTGGGTGTCATGCCTTTACATGGTATCAAAATTGGGAAACCTGGTCCACGTTTCAATCAGGCCTGGATGTGAATGGGGTGTTAGAATGGGTTATAACCCCACATTGGTTGGTGAACGGACGGATGGTTTGCTTAGATGGACCTGGGCAGTACTCCCCTCAAGTGCTAGCTTTTGGGGTTGAGTTAGGCACACGTGTCATATCTTTACAATATTTATATTTTCTCACTATTTCAGTATTTCTTTTAAGCTATCTTGTTTTTATGTTTTTGCTGAAACTAAGGACTAAGGTTCTCCTTTTGAGGAACTGTTATCATACGTAAGTAAAGAAAGGTAGATCATTTTCTTTTTGGGCAAAACAGGAGATTATATTATATTAAGTTATTAACTAAACTGTGAAGCAGTACAAGGAGCATTGTGCTGGCTTGGTCCAGCATCATTACAGTAGTTACTTACAGTAGTAGTGATTAGGGGGCGATCAATTAAGGAGTCGTTACTGAAAGAAGCGGGGACATGGGACCCTATCCAAAAAGATGCTTCTAACGGGGACTCGAGTGAGTTACTAGTGTACTAATAGGGGGTCCTGAGATGTCTTCCGCTAGTATACTAAGCATGAAAGGAGATGGTGATGCAAAAAAAGAAGGTAGATCATAATAATGTATTTTCCCCACCTACCTTTTTCTTGAGGTAAATTAAAATTTGCCTTGGATATCTTTTCTAATGTTTACTTGGATGATTAAGGTCACTGTCAGATCAGCTTAACCAGTTGTAATTGTGAGTTTCGCGCACTGAGAAGGGAAATATCCTTCTTTTACATAAAATTGGAGAGAGCTTACTTTCATTGAGTTTTCTGTGATACTCTTTTCTTTTTTGGCATTCCAAAATACTATTCCATTGATGTATTACTTACTTTATGCTACTTTGACGAATTCAAATTCATTTAGCTGTTTAAATTTCAATCTCTGATGTGATATTTTCTTTATCAAACTAACTTTCCAAAAACAGTTTTAATATTTCTTCCACTACTAAAATAATACACAAGGCAATTACTATCTTGAGCTCCATATCTAATCAATCATCATCATTTATTGAAATGAAGGAAGTATATTTGTGTGTGTGTTTTCGTGAGTGTGTGTGTGCCCACATGTGTCATGAAGATGTCAAGTGTTTTTGGCTGATATGCTTCTTTAAACATCTTGGTATCTTCAGGCTGCCAGGAATGCAGGTGTTCCAGTTATTCTAGATGCAGGTGGAGCGGATTCTCCAATCCCTCTAGAACTTCTTCGTTGTGTTGAGATTTTCAGCCCAAATGAAACTGAGCTGGCTCGCATAACAAAAATGCCAACTGGAAATTTCGAACAAATCAGCAATGCAGTGGAGCAGTGCTATGACCTGGTCTGTTTTTCATGTACCTGTTTATTCATTTTTCCTAAAGTTTGCATCCTAAATTCAGGACATATTCTTGCAGCATTTCACTTGATTTAGACTTTATCCGTGACCCAAAATAACTATCCGAGTTACATTTTCGGGGTCTGAATTTAACAGTCCCTTTTGATGTGTTATAGTTACCTGCCCTTATTGATTTTGCAAAATGTATAGGTCCTGATAGGCTTTTGCTTGCTGAATCATAAATGTCTGGTGATGGCTTTGCTTCTCCTTATAAATATGATGACTTAATGCTTTGTTGTTTGTGGGGCTCTGGTTTGGTCCACCGACCTAGTAGGACATTCCTAGTTAGATTTAGCTACGTTTCCTGATTTCTTGCTCAATGTTTGGGGTGTCACAAATTACAATAGATATCTGTAAATTTGTAATATATCAATTTGATTTTGTGGAATGATGTTTCCATGCTCTTTTGTTTCCCAGGGAGTTAACCAGGTCCTTGTTAAGCTTGGGGCCAATGGATCTGCTCTTTTCACCAAAGGAGAGGAACCCTTGCGGCAACCCATTATTAAAGCTGCAAAAGTCATTGATACAACAGGAGCTGGTGACACTTTTACAGCTGCTTTTGCAGTGGCCCTAGTGGAGGGTAAATCTAAAGAGGAATGTTTGAGATTTGCTGGTAAGCATGCTGGTGCTTTCTCCCAATTTTTGTTTCAGCTTCTTTACTCTTATATTTTTTCTTCAAACATGTTTCGTAAAGCTTTTTTCTTGAGCTGAGGGTCTATCGGAGACAACCTCTCTATCCCACAAGTAGGGATGAGGTCTGCGTACATCTCACTTCCCCAGACCTCACTCGTGGGATCATATTGGGTATGTTGTTGTTGTAGTTACATATCTAATAAAGGCTTGTGCATTTACAGCTGCAGCAGCTTCTCTATGTGTTCAAGTGAAGGGAGCCATTCCAAGCATGCCCGAGAAGAGAGCAGTGTTCAATCTTCTTCAGTCAGCTTGAAGACTCGGAGTTTCCTTTATCATCTCCTTGTACAAAAAAGTAAGAGGTAGTCTTCTAAATGTTTAGAACTTCGGATTATATTAGTTGGTGCTTTACCCTAATCATAGGAGAAAAAAAAAAGACTGTTCAAAAAGACAGTCTCCTAGGAAGAATTAAATGAGAGGGAACACAGGGGGATCTAGATGAAGTTCCAGTTGACAATTACTCCTCCGTTTTAATTTGTTTGTCTTACTTTCCTTTTCCATTTCAAAAAAATGTCTCTTTCTTCTTTTTTTGGCAACTCTTCGATTCTAACTTTCCACATAACATGTTTTAAGGCCACAAGCTTAAAGGAATAAATAATAAGATAATGTTGTCTTCATAATCTCGGCATATACATTGGTTGTCCAAATATGTTGAAACCGAAAATTAGAATTTGGATGAAAGATGAACAACAAACCAAATCTGACTTTGTTATAAACTGTGATAGTAATGAAATTTGAATACCCCTCTTCCCTCATGTATGCCTCTGTTGTATGTGGTTCAATCAAGTTCCGATTTCTGGTTATTGAAACAGTATTGCTTTGCGTTGGTGAAAAGACTTTTCATTTATTTCTTGATAGGAAGGTTCTCAGGTTGATGAGTTGAAGTTCCGGACTCTTGATTTTCATAAAGAGGTGAACAAATACTATCTATTTGCTCTTTTCTTTTGGTAAATTTTTTCCACTTTCCTTCTAAACCACCACACTTGTGCATCTGATATAATTCAGGACTTCGGTGGAGCACTTGTTAACTTCGGGAAGTAGCGCTAATCTGCATATTTTGCTTGTTGAATTGGGGATTCAAGATACAGCTCTGAAATACTTACTCTAGCTTTTTCTGAAGAACTTCTGGTGTAGCATAGTTTTCGATAAATTGTTCTTTTCTTGTGCTTCTGTCATCTCAGCTGATAAATAACTCCAGGAAGTTGGTTAGCATAGCTAGTATTTTCGTTAACGATTAATCGTTACTGATTGTTGCTGAAAAGATTGCCAGCTTTGAAAAACTTGAATGATATAAGCCTCTTGTTTCTGACTGATTTACTTATATTAGTTTTGCTAGTATTCTTGTGCTTCTTTTTTGTGTTGCCATTTAGTTTCAAGTTTGATTGCATGAAGTGAAAATATAGGAGTATTTGATTATGGTCAAGTAATAGTTGTGTTAAACACATATCACGTATCTGTTGTAAATATCTGATGCGGATAATTTTTTACGATGAATACACCTTTATAACATTAGGTGCAGTTATTTTAATTCAAACTATCTATATTCATACACTTTTTGGTTACCAAAACTTAATAAATACACCCAAATTCCATACCTAACCTAATTTTTTTAGATTCTTACCTAAGCCAATCAATAATGCAGAAAAAAGAGTGATGGATTTAACGGTTGATTTTGTTTTCAAAAGGACGAATGCAAATGATTTGGCTTATAATACAATTTTTGCACAAATGTGAATAACGTGTTTGTTTGTTTTTCATTTCTTCGTAGGACGTGATCTTTTTTAGACTCTATTAACGTGAGATGCTTTGTGTATTGAACTATTTATTTGTTCTTAACGACGGTGAAAAGAAAGTCCAAAATATCAACTCTTGCAAAGGATGAGGACCTTTTGGTTGGAATTATATGAACACTTATTTGGACTTAAATCAAATACGTAACGGGAAAATTCCGTTGAAAATCTCTCCATTTATTTTATTTTAATCTTTTAATATAATATTTTTATCTCTCCATCTCAGGTCTTTTTGTTTAGAAAAAAAAATATTGGGCAAAAACATTTTTATTTAAGTATTTCTGCTGACTACAGTTTTAACTTATGTACTCCCTAGTCCCATTCTATTTTATGTAAATGTATTATCCACAAAGATAAGCATAATTTTCGTAAAATTTATCTTTTTTCTGTTCTACTTGTGAAATTTACTTATTATTATCGCAAAGATAATATATATTATTAACTACACAAAATTTTATTAAGAAAAAAATTGTGTCATTTAAATAAGTGAAACGACAAAAGAGAAAATGAAAAGGTATTACGCGGTGTTTTCTGTTTTTTGACAGTAAAATAGTGGTCATCTTTTTGTCACGTTTTATGCAATTATCTTGTGGTAAATAAAACTAGAAAAAAATAATGTAAAGCCTGACTACATAACAATGATTGAGTTAAAATCAATTTGCAGTTGGAAAAAAAGAGTGAATTTATTGATCATAAAAAGTTAGTGCATATACTCAGTGATATTGGAAGTTTGTTTTTTTTAAAAAAGAATTATTTGATTAATAGTTATTATCTCAAAAAATTAGTTTATTCATCAAAAAAATTATATATATTTAAAAACAATAACTTGAATGGTATATAAAATTGCTGTTAGTCCTGTAATAAATTAAATATGTAAAGAAATTCTCAACCATTTTAAAATACTTCAAATTAATTATTGCTTCAAGTAAAATTAAATAAGAAAAACGAGTTAATTCAAATCTTATAATTAGAGATGGAGAAATTCTATCGAATGAATACTTGAAAAAAATAAAAGTAAATATAATAACAAGTAGAAAACGACTGAAACCTTAGGAAGTATAAAAAATAAGGGGGATGACACAATTGAAAAGTATTCATTGAACATTTCTAGTCACACAAAAAAGAGGTCAATTAGCAAGATAAGGTCATACATCTTTTGAAGGATGGAATAATATCAATACCAACGATGTTTCAATGAAAATAAAAGGTTTGTCAAGTAATTAATTGTCTATGGATACAAAAAATAATAATCCAAGTTGCACGAATTGATTAGTAATGAGTGAAAGAAAACATTCGAGATTTATCTGTTAGCGACTTATATAATAATCGAGTCCATAAATAATATTATAATTAATTAAATAAAGTATATTATTTATTATTTTTATTATAATGATACCTCAGAAAAAGCAGCACCTTAGTATCAAAATGATAATGATTCATTAGGAAAAAAACAAGGACGGACGGACCACACAGAGAAAGAACAAAAAAGTAAATAAAAAGTTGTAATAGTGATAGGAAGCATCCAAAGGACCAAGGCAATGCCATTTTGGAATATATATATAATATAAAATAAGATACACCACAATTGACTAAACAGAAAATAAATAAAAAGCATATTCTAATTTTATATCTATTTTTTTGTGGTTGGTGTAGTCCATTGCAAGTTGTAACTACCAATGTCTATGAACAAGACTACATAACTAGTTCTTGTTCCTTGTGTTGTTCTCGGTGATATTTGAATTAACTTGTGCATATTTTCATATTGTTTGGAGGTAAATTCAAAATTTAATGTCGACTAAATTAGCTTTGGTTTATTTTCATATTTTTATAAGTGGATTTAAAAGTTGATGGCGTTCAAATTAGTTTATGCATGTCTTCGTATTTTTAGAGGGAGATTCAAGATTTATAATGAATTGATTTTCACCAATTATTATTATTATTATTTTTAAAAACAAAACACTTTATTTTATGTGCTCAAGAGGAATCAAATTAAACCCTAATCAAAGACCGCAATTACAAAGTTAAAAGCAAATTCTTTTTTCTATCACTAGATCAAGAGACTATCTTGTTATTTAATATTTGTTATGTGTTTGATAGATTTCTCAATATGAATACACAATCTATGCAAAAGCTATTGAGTTCTCGATAACCCGCACCCCACACCCTAGATTTGTCCCCACATATTTCATGTTATTTTGAAACACATTCCTTTTGGGGTGGAGGTGGGGTGGGGTGGGGGGCTTAGTACATTTAGTCCTTCAATATTGATAATTTATATTTTGGTCCTTCTAATTTATGATTATGTACATTTGGCCTTCAATGAATTAATATATGTAATTCTTATCACTAAATGAATATTCACAAATTTAATGAATTATTAAACAATTTAATATTGATGTATTATGTTAAATTGTGCGGTTATTCCATATTCAAGGATAATATAGTTGTTAAAATAGTCTAGATATGATATATTTTCTTTATGAAAGGACCAAACTGTACATTTTTTATTAAGTAAATAATGTTAAATATGTTTAATCAGATATAACAAAAACTAAAAACAAGAATTCATCAACAACTTAGGGACCAAAATATAGTTATCCAATTTCCTTTTAATATGTTTCAGAGAAAACGTTAATCATTTCTTTTATATTTAGAATTTAGAAAATAATTTTTATTTTTTCCGTCTTCCCTTAATGTCGTGTTCCTATAGGTTATAAGAAAGAATGTAATATATAATATATTGATTTTACATGTCAAACGTTTTATTTTTTATCTTAAAATTATACAATTAGTCAAGCACCGTCCAATGAATTCGATGAAGTATTAAGGTCAATGAGTAGTAATGTATTCTAAAACATTTGTGACTTTATATTTTTTTAAGATGTGATGCATATGAATCTTGATTAATACTTTATAAAAATGTATTATTATTTTTTAAGTTCCAACAAATTACATAAAACATAGAAATAGGGTTGTGGAAGAAGGAATAGTATAACTTCATGATTTTAGATTCGAATCCAAATATATAAAAAAATAAATTATTCAATTAAACTTTTTTTTATTAATTTTGATACGAGTTTAAATTAATGGGGAAAAAAATTCCTAGACACACATGGGTTGTCTTTATCGACGTCATTCCCCCACGCCCACCACCCCATATTTCACCATCAACTTTGGGTGGTCTCTTTCATATAAAAGAGGTCCCATATATTAAAATATATATATATTTCAAATTATTAGTCAATACAACTATTAAGAATGCCTTTCTTTTTCTAAAATTTACTTTTATTGTTCCAAATATTGAAGTATTGAAAAATATATAGTATTATTTTAAAATTGTGGTGGCCGGGGGAAAGGGAGATGGGGGAACTGGGAAGGGATCATAATGCGGAGAATCGAATCCTCACAACAAAGGTGGAAATTTAGGTAACTCTCCAACTAAGCTACTAAAATTTCATGTATTAAAGAATATGTATGATAAATTTGATAGGCATTTTTATAACTAATACTACTTCAGTCTGTCCCAATTTATATAAAAATATCTAATTGCACGGTGGGTTTAAGAATGAAAGAATTTCTTTTTATGAAATATGTTATGTATCTAAATCATCTCATTAATATATATATATATATATATATATATATATAATAAGAATATGTTATTTATTTGAATTGACTTAAAAAGAAGTGTCACAAAAAGTAAAATATACTATAAGATATTAAATTTTAAAGAATATAGGGAAGTTTTAAAATGTTGCTCACACTCAATCAATCATTTTAATTAACCTTAGTTGATTTAATATTAAAGTATATATATATAAAAAAAAATCACAATTAATGTCAAAATTTGTGTATAAAAAATTCTTGTATTACATGATTGATCGGATGTAAATAGTGGCAAATTTATGCATAAGAAAATGGGTGACATGAATATGTAATAGTGCACATGTTATTTTGAAATTTTGAATTCGCCTCTAAATATGCGTCGTAAAATAATTTTTTCCACAATAATATTTTTCTTGTATCAAATTAAATAAATAAGGAGTAATATTTTAATCAAATTGTTCTATCAAACCAACCCCACCAACCCTACAACTCTCACCATTGGGTTTTTTGATAGGTCCACCTAACCTAAATGTAATAAACCACGTGATATTCATTTTTTAATTAAAATTTAAAAATATTTGGAAGGATAAACTAATAAATTATTCAATAGAAAATTTTATCCATGACACATGTCCAGAGTTGTTTCAATCACCGACAGTCCCTTGTCCTTTTTTTTTTCTTATGTTAAGTTGATTTTTTCAATGGAATTTTTTTATAATAATTGTGATAATACAAATGTGGTCAATGAACGATAAGAGAATAACCTTATCTATTTTTATGTGATAGGGCAACTAAGTTTTTTTTAATCAATTTTGTGTGTTGTATAGTTGTTTCTTTCGTAATCAGATGTTTTGAGTTCGAATCTTGGATATAAATTTTTTTAGGAGGGTGTGCTAGCCTTACGCAACGTGAATTCGGATAAGTCAGCCTTTAATATAGGTATCAAATATCGATAAAAAAAACAGGAGATAATTTTCAAACCTAATTTAGGTGAAAAGTAATGATGTCGGTATTCTAATTGATGATTATATAATTTTAATTAATGGTTGTTGAATGGTTACAATTCAATTGACAGTTTCTTCACTCTTAATTAATAAAACACTTGCATGGTTTGACAAAAACAATTAAGTAAAAGAAATATTAATTAAGAAGGAATTGACTTTCCATAATAGTGACAATACAACAATGATTTACATTATGGAGTTGGATAATGCAAATAGTAAAAAAGAAAAAGGTAACAAATAAATATTTTGTACTTAATTTGGTAAAGTGCATTAATGAACTTGATTTTACTATAATTTTTATAGAATATTCAAAATCATTATCTTAGTGGATCGCAACATAATCTAACTTTTGTCCTTATAATTAGTGGGGAAATCTTATACCTAACTAAATTTAAAGTTTCATTACTAATATTTAATGTAATCTCATAAATAAAATTTCAAAAGAATAAATCTTATCTTGTCATTTTGTAGAGGTACATTATTTTCAATAAATTCTCAACTTAAATAAAATATAATTTCATAATCTTTATAGATAGTATACAATAAAGTAACGTTCAATACGAATGATGAGCTAAATATGATCTCATATTAATGAGCAAAAACAAATCTAAAAATATGATTAACTAAGAAGTCACTTGTTATGAGAATAAATTACACAATAGAACCATTACTAAAGATATTCAAATTTCAAGATTTTTAACATTGACTTTATTGTGATATTAAAATAATCCCTTTAGATTTAAATATTTACTGACATTTTAGTGTATTTTTATAATGTATTTATACTTCATATAGTAAATTATAAATTTAGATGAATTGTTAGTCGAAAAGTTACATACGCCCCTTGCGCTTCCCATATGCCAATGTGTACCTACAAAATTCTCAAGTATAAATAAAATAACAAACAAAAGATTTTTGTATCATTATTTGTCCTATATTGGGTCCAACTAAATTCAATTTATGAGAAATTACCTTATTAGACATACATACGTATCATATATACTAGTTTTATCTATACTTTCAAATAAGAGTTTTTTTTAATCATGTATTAATACACTTATATACATATATTTTTGTTACCAGATACACTAAAATAGGAAGAGAGACGAGCGAGATGGGGAGGGAGGAGAGTATCTCAGATACATACGAATCACACTAGATATATGTATCTGTACCAAATACATAAGAGAGTGTAGAGCGAGGTAGGAGAGAGACAAGTGGGATTTGTTATGTATTTTAGATACACGCGAATCCACTTGGACACAATATATCTAGAACAAATTACACTTAATTTTTATCTCATATATCCCGAGACAAAAGAATCTAGACACATCAAAATCTATGTGATCTTCAACTTTAAGCATGTATAAGTAGACATTTAAATTATAATAAAATTAAACAAGTAGACATACACGATTTACACATATCAAACATGTTCTCTTGTAAACTGCGTTGTAAATGTCAGCTGAGATCAAATTAAATATGGAATAAAACAAAGAAAGTTAGAAAATATTTGGGGAAAACACAACCGTAGAAACACGCAAAGCCACAATCTTTTGTTGCCTTTAAAAAGACCGAAAAGCTCACCAATTTTCCTCTCCTTTCTTCCTCCTCTTCAATTGGCCTCCTTGTTGCTCTCTCTCTCTCTCTCTCTCTCTTCTCCATCTTTCAAAACCCGAAAAAGGGTTACTTCTTTCTTGACCCTTCGTTCATTTTCTGTTAATTTTTTGTAGGATTTTAGGCTCAACTGATACTATTTTTGTGTATAAGAATCATACTGGTTTCTTCACAAGTGGGGTTCGGTCTTTGTTAGTACGTTTCAATACGGAGTTGGCGTCGGTGGGGGCAAACTCCTGCTGATTCTCTGATTTATTCCATTTGGGGTTGTTGAGATTTGTTTTATTTTTGGATATTTTTTATCTGATCTTCTGTTTAAGATCAGGGGAACCTAGAGAAGAAAAGGGTATCCTAAGATATCCTCTTTTTTTGAATTTATTCGTTGCCCAGATTGTTTAAAGTCTTCAAAAAGATGCAGCAAGATCAGCACAAGAAGGTTTCTTTCTTTCTTTATCTTCCTCTTTGAAATTCTTTAATAAAAAGGAGATCTTGATTGAGATTTCTTATTTCGAGCTTTTAAGATTTGAGGGTATCTGGTAAAGAACCCTAATTTGCCTTAAAAGACGAGTCATTATAGCCAAAGTTGATTGATTGAGTCTGCTGTGAGGATTATATAACTGTTTGTTTGTTTGAGGAAGCATGAAGTTGTTGACTAATTTTAGCTGCTAATGGAGGACTAAGTTATTTGATTATCTGAAATTTTAGTAATCTTCTAACCATATGAAGTTGTTGACTAATTTAGGCTGTTGTTTATTTAGAATATATTATTTAACAGAGATGGAGAATTTGCATATGAAGGACTAAGTTGTTTGATTATCAGAAATTTTAGTAATCTCTTAACCATATGAAGTTGTTGACTAATTTTAGCTGCTATGTAAAGTATTTAGAAATGTAGGTAGGTAACTCATTAAACAGAGATGGATGATTTGCATATGGAGGACTAAGTTATTTTAGTAATCTTTAAGCATATTGCCAATTAACATACTTGTGAAAATGCCCTTGTGGGGTAAATTGTTTCGACTTTTTTGTAGGGCAGCATTCTTATTACTTTTCTTTCATAGTTTTGAAATGTTCTTTGTTTTCCTCTGCTTTTCTTCCTTTACTAGATTCTGGTCTTCTACTTCATGCTAACTGCTGTGTTAGTTTGAAATGTAATCTGATGTTGTAGTCCTTTGCTCGGGCCTCGTTTGACTCTGAAATAGTATTTCGTGGTTGTCTAGTCTGATTTTCAAATTGGAATGTATTGTCTATTCAAGTCATAACTTAATCCTTGATTCTCTTTATGTTACAACAGAAGTCTACTGATCTGAATTTAAGTGATACTGCATCAACATACACTTTGAGAATATCAAGCAACATGCAGATTTTATCTTATATTTAGTTTGCCTATTATGTCAGTAGACTATTGTAAACATGTCTGAGTTTTTGTTACTGATTGTACAGAGTTCCAAAGAAGTGGAGTTCTTCACTGAGTATGGTGATGCTAATAGGTATAAAATTTTGGAAGTTGTAGGCAAGGGAAGTTATGGAGTAGTTTGTGCTGCAATTGACACTCATACAGGAGAGAAAGTGGCTATAAAGAAAATAACTGATATTTTTGAGCACATTTCTGATGCAATTCGAATTCTGCGTGAAGTCAAATTGCTTAGACTTCTAAGGCATCCTGATATTGTTGAAATTAAGCGAATCATCTTACCACCTTCAAGACGAGAGTTCAGAGATATTTATGTTGTTTTTGAGCTTATGGAGTCTGATCTTCATCATGTTATTAAGGCCAACGATGACTTGACACATGAGCACCACCGTTTTTTCCTGTATCAGATGCTGCGTGCATTGAAGTTCATGCACACAGGTAAAAGTCTTGTGAATTCGGTAACTATAGGTATTATGATATCTGCCATCAACTTCTCCTAAGGATGTTTATTTTCAGCCCTGTTTTGACTGACACATATATATATATATATATATATTCATTTCAGCTAATATGTACCATCGAGATCTTAAGCCAAAAAATATATTGGCAAATGCAAATTGTAAACTCAAAATATGTGATTTTGGATTGGCAAGGGTTGCATTCAGTGATGCTCCAACCACAATATTTTGGACGGTAAGCTTTCGTGTTAGTCCTATGCCAAAAGCCTTCTATAAGATTTACTTGGATTTAGTTTAAATCATAGAAAGCTTTATAAGATGGACATTTTCATTCATTTTAATCTTTGATTTGACTGAAATTTTCTTATTTTTTGTCTTCTTCTGATACATCATGCAGGATTATGTTGCTACAAGGTGGTACCGTGCACCAGAACTATGTGGGTCTTTCTTCTCTAAGGTAATTTATGTGAATAGCGTGCAGCTTAGCTTATTTTAACTTTCATGTAAAAGATACTTTTTGTTTTGAACCTTATCTATGAGTTCCATTCTAGAACTTCATGTTAGTGGTTCTTCTAATAGATCAAAATACTTTTTTGTCAAAAGATATGTGAAACTACTTCTCAATTTTCCCAACACCCTCCCTTGGGGAGCCGTACCAGAAAAAAACCAACTCATTGCAAAGGGTGTTGTAAATGAGTAGGTATTAGACACAATTGTGTTTATGCTCCATTTATCTCTCAAACAAATGTAGGGTCACACAGTTATAGTCATCAATTAGTTAGCCACTTTCTTGCTAGCCCATGCATAGTCACAGAACATATTCACGCCTATTTTTGCTGGATTCAGTTATTAAGATTCTTTTTTTGGCATCATATAAAGCCTCCCTTTTCCCATGCTTTAGAAAGGTGAAAAGGTACTTGTATACATAGTGTTAAAAGGAAGGGCTTTCTGGTTAGAATAGAAGATTTTTGTTCAGTTCTGAGTGTATTAAATAGTGATGTGTAGGTTGAAATCATTCTTGTTCAGGGAGGACTATTGAACTCTCCTGGACGTTGATTTTTCTATTCTTCAGGTAACTGTGTTAGGTCTTGCGTCAATTTCTCAGTAAGGCCTTACTGAGGTTTTTGCTGATTTGTCTTCTAATTCGTGTATGAATTCCCTGCAGTATACACCTGCTATTGATATCTGGAGCATCGGGTGCATTTTTGCAGAGGTTTTGACGGGGAAACCATTATTTCCGGGCAAAAGTGTTGTTCACCAGTTGGATTTGATTACTGATCTTCTAGGGACGCCATCAGTTGATATTGTATCTGGGGTAAGAGCTGTCAGTTAATTTTTTTTTTGCTGATGTTAGCATTGCCTGACAGCATGTTGATAGAAGAGTACTCCTCTTGAGTGCAGGTTCGTAATGAAAAGGCAAGGAAGTATTTGACAGATATGAAGAAAAAAAGCCCAGTTCCTTTTACTGAGAAATTTCGAAAAGCAGATCCTTTGGCACTTCGACTGTTGCAGAGGTTGTTAGCATTTGATCCAAAGGATCGCCCAACTGCTGAAGAGGTACACTCCCTCATATATTCCTGATGTTAAGATTACGTGAATGACATCTCCACGTGCTTGTCCGTTTCTAATTTCATTTTCATTTTTTGTGTTTTTCCTCCTATCTTTTAGGCTTTGGCTGATCCGTACTTCAAGGGACTGGCCAAGATTGAGAGGGAACCTTCTAGTCAACCAATCTCGAAGCTGGAGTTCGAGTTTGAGCGACGAAGGGTCACAAAGGATGACATCCGTGAACTAATATTTAGGGAGATACTAGAGTATCATCCTCAACTTCTGAAGGACTACATGGCTGGAAATAGTGGTGCAAATTTTCTCTATCCTAGGTTGTAATATACTTCTCTACTATTTCTAGTCTCTATTTTCTTGTACCACTATATCATTACTGACTGACGGTGCGACAATCATTGAATTGCAGTGCCATTGGTAATTTCAGAAGGCAATTTGCTTATCTAGAGGAGAATAGTGGTAAAAGTGGCCCAGTAATACCTCCTGGTCGAAAGCACGTCTCTCTCCCGCGGTATGATTCCATGAGTTGTTTGTCTTGTTGGTTGTGTCAATGAATATGTCCTGTTCCTTATGTTTTATGCTTCTCTTCACTTTATCTTCCCAAAAAAGAAGTTTTTGTTTGTTCTTGTATTTGCTGGATAAGTAACCTGACTGAAAAGAAGTTGTACTTGCTTACTCCCGAGGAAGTTTGGATTTGGAATATTAACTTGTTCATCACATTGGAAAAACTGTTACCTTAGAGCATTCCCCTTTTCCCTTTTGCTCTCTCCTTTCCTTTTTCAGTCTGCTTATTTGGGGTTTCATTACATATATTCTTAAATGTGTTACAGATCTACTGTAAATTCCAGTACCATCCCCCCCAGAACACAGCAGAATCCTATGTTTGATCATAGGCAAGTAACAGAAAAGGCAACTGCTGGCGTCAGAGTCTCAGACCCGAAGGTTTTGCGACCACCACCTCGAGTACCCACAGGTAAGGTTGACATTGTCTGTGCTGGCACTCATAGTGATAATGTACCTTTTTGTCAACATCTTCAAAGTGAACTCAAATATTTCACCACATGTAATACATTGGACGAACTGGAACTCAGTACTCAGCTCAGGAGAAGGCTATTTAGGGAATCTTCTTAAGTTATATCCCCCTTGCGTGTGGAAGAGAGTGTGCGTGTGGGGGTGGGGGGGGGGGGGGGCAAATAAGGAGGGGGGGGG